AACTCTTCCAACTTTGATCCTTATAATAGAAGACTTTACTATGCTTCAATTAAGGAAAGCGTTTTGTTGCAGACACATAGGTCTTCTCCAGGTCTTGATGGCGTGTAATTAACTGAAATGCTGAAGCATCTATCCTATCTAAGTCACTGACTCACTAACTGCCTTTCTCACTTTTTACAATAGGGTGTGGAAGGAGCGTACTTTTCCCAGTGCATGGAGGAGAGCTGTTGTGATTCCTATTGTTAAGCCAGCTAAAGACCTGAAGAATCCCTCGAAATGTCGGCAAATTGTCCTTACCAGTTGTATATGCAAACTGTTTGAAAAGATGGTAAACAGCCGCCTAGTCTACTTCTTGGAATAATATTACAAGGTGTGTTCGAAAAGTTCGGTGATTGGTCTCATAATTAAAAAACCTCGCCGGTTAGGATCTTGCACTCATGCAGACGCAGGGAGAGAAATGTCATCTAGAGCCATTTTACGACAGATAAGAGGAAGCGCACGCTATGAGCAGTTTAACAGTCAGTGTGAGAAAGATTGTCAGTGTGAACATGGAAGCAACACATAAACATAAAGTTTTGCTTCAAGTTAGGGAAAAGCGGCGACGGAGACACATGACATCTTAGTGAAAGTTTACGGATCAGGACAGCAGTGAGTAAAAAAGTGTGTTTATGAGTGCTTTAAACGCTTTACAGACGGAAAGGAGGATGTCAAAGATGAAGCCGCGGTCGGGGCGCCCTACGACAAGCACAACTCCAGACAATGTGGAACGAGTTTGAATGGATGCTTGCGGCAGATCGACGACTATCTTTAAAAATGAATAGCTGGCGAATTGCAGATAAGCCTAAGACAGTGGGAGCACCATTGTGCACAAACTTTTGCATTAAACATAAGATATGCACCCGGTTTATACCGCACTCGCTGTCAGACGAGCAAAAGCAATACCAGATGGAAACCATCTGGAGATTTTATTCGACGTGTGTGACCGGAATCCACAATTCTTGGAAACAATAATTACAGAGGATGAGTCGTGGTGCTGTATATACGATCCGGAGACCAAGCGGACAATCCATACCATGGTGTTCAATGTCGTCACCCCCTCCCAAAAAAAAGTCGTTTTACACAATCCAGGATCAAGACGTTGTTGGTCGTCTTTTTCGACAGTAAGGGTTTGATCCATCGTGAATTTGTACTCGCGGCTACAACCGTCAATGCGGAATACTACGAGGGGGTTTTGAAACGGCTGATGCTACGCATACGCCGGATTCGGCCACAGTGCCGGAATGGACAGTGGAATCTGCTCCATGACAACGCCCGGCCGCACACTGCGATCCATGTAACCCAATTCCTTGACAGGCACCAAGTTTCAATTTTGGATCACCCTCCATATTCTCCAGATCTGGCTCCCGCGGACTTCTTCCTGTTTCCCCGCCTTAAAGGAGTTCTGAAAGGCCAACACTTTTCCGACATTACTGAGATCCAACAACGTGTGACAATGGGGCTTCGAGCTATACCAAAAGAAGCATTTGCAGACAGTTTCCAACAATTGTACACCCGATGTCAAACGTGTATTGTTGCTAATGGCGAATACTTTGAAGGCCAGTAAAGCTATTTTGCTTGTTTCTCTTGTTTCCTTCTATTCGAAAAGCTTTTGTCAGAAGAAGGTCACCTTGTCTCAATATTCTTTGAGATTGTGAAAGCTTATGCTAAGGCATGGAGATACGGTATACTTTGGGATCTTCACGAGAGTGGCTTGTGCGGCAACCTACCAATTTTCATTCAGAATTTTTTGAATTCTAGGACTTTTCCAGTAAGGATTGGCTCTGTTTTGTCGGATGTTTTTGAACAGGAAGAGGGTATGTGCCTCAAGGCTGTGTGCTTAGTGTTAACCCTGTTCATTTAAAAAATAAACTCTGTATTAAAAGAACTTCCTTCCCACCATCTTGGGATCTCTATATATGATGATGTACAGATTAGCTGTCGAGGGGAAGACATGAGATACGTAGAGGGGCAATTGCAGATGGCTCTGAATAGAATCCAAGAATGCTCGAATAAACAGGGATTTTCTATTTCGAAACAGAAAACTTTGTGCAAGCACTTTTGTAGGAAGCGAGTTCTCCATCCTGAGCCTGAGTCATATCTGAATGAATAATTATTCCAGTTACACCTGAAATAAAATATTTAGGAGTGACGTTCGACCGAAAATTGACTTTCCTTTCTTATGTTTTAAACCTGGAAAAAGTGTTTAAAGACACTAAATATTTTAATCGTGTTGGCGAACACATTCTGGGGTGCAGAGTGTTGCTCTATGCTTCGCATTTACAGAGCGCTTGTTCGCTCTAGACTGGACTATGGCTCAGTTGTTTATGGACCCGCTCGATCATCAGTTTTGTTAAAACTAGATCCTGTTCACCATCAAGCTCTGCAGATTTGTTCAGGAGCTTTCAGAACTTCTGTGCAGAGCGTGTATGTTGCCTCCAACGGACCATCACTTTATCTGAGGCGTGAGCAATTGTCCCTTTTGCAACATTTTAATATTTTATCTCAACCTGAACATCCTAATTAGCTGTGCTTACTTGATAATGTATGTAACGCATTATTTGAAACACGTCCATTCTGTGTTCCTACCTTTCTTTTAAGAGTTCGCCCCGTCATTGAGGAACTTTCTCTCTCCGATATGCGCCCCCAAGCAGTGCAGAACTTTGAAATCCCCACCTTGGGAAAATGCACGAATTTAGCTTCTTGATGTTTTCAAGCATCACGTGAAGGCAAGTACTAAAGAGATCATTTACAGAAAACACTTCGCTGAGCACAGGCACAAATATTGCAGTTATTACCCGATATATACAGACGGATCCAAGTCAAATGATCATGTCGGGATGGCATTTGTATTTGAAGATTGCATAGAGGGCAGATGTCTGCATCATGCTTTCTCAGTCCTAACATCTGAACTAACTGCAATATATTATGGTCTGTTGTACATCTCAAAGCTCTGCCACAAAAAAGTTCACAGTTGATACAGACTCATATAGTGCTCTTAAATCGTTTGAAGCTTTTCCCAACACTCGGAATCCTGTGGTCGAGGATGTGATGTCCTGTACTGCTGGGTTCCTGGACATGTGGGAATAAAGGAAAATGAGCTTGCAGATATCGCAGCAAAATCTGCTGTGAACTGTCCAGTCGCCTCATCTCTTTTAGAGAAATCTGCTGTGTGATCAAGGGAAAAGATCTGGAAAAAATGGCAGCAAATTTGGGACGTTCAGCTTAACAACAAGTTAAAAATGTAAAGCATAGAATTGAGCATTGGGATTTTGCTGGAACTCATAAGGAGGAAGTTTTTTTGACTCGCTTCAGAATTGGTCACACTAGAGTGACACATAACTATCTTCTCAAGCTGAAATGAGCCTATTTGTTTTTAATTGTAACGTTTGTGTATCTGTTCATCATTTTAATTGAGTGTCATGTTTTAATAGTCTTTCGCCAGAAATTTTTAATAGCTGGACTTACCTCTCGACCGTTTAATCAGAAGAGAGGTCAATTGTAATTTATTTTATTATTTAAAAGAACTGGTTTTTTACCTAATGTAATTTTGTTTTGAAGATTGTGTCTTGGATTTTAAATGTGTGCTTTTAACTTTTTTTATGACTCATCCTCTGTATTTGGTACATTGTCACTGTTTTTATTATGTATTTAATTTCATCAATTGTAATCACCCCATCTCGTGTTTGCGTGCTATAATCATCTTTGGTTTTGTGCATAACCTCTCCTCACTCTCCTTGAAAACTTAATAAACTTTAGCAATATTACATTACTGTTATGTTGTTTTTCAAAAAGTATTTTTTAAATTTTTATTTAAATCTATAATCATTTTGTAATATTTTTCTGACTAAAAATATTATGAAAATATTACACTTTAATACGTACTTTTTGATGAATACAAAATTGTGCAGATATAGTGAATTTGACTTAACTTAGGGCACGGGTTTACCTCATTGCCTAAGGTGAAAATATATCTAGACACAGCCTTCATCACATGGATAATTATTTTAATAATTAATAATATCACTATAATAATAACATTCTCTGCAGAACTATTTCATACTGTTGATGTGGCTTATCTCTTTTATCTGACAATAATATCAAAAAAAGCCCCCGAAATTCATCATGGCAAGGAGTGCAAGATTGCACCTGTTGTTGGCAAGAGCCAACTATACAGGTAACAGTACGACGTTGCCAAGTTCTGTCCCTGATTTTGATAGAGAGCACCTCTAGGGCATGTATCCGAGGATCCCACCCCTCTTCTCATACCATCAACCTCTTGAGAGGACTTTCACCTTGCCGCATGTTTAGAGTGCCCCCATGCCACTTAGACAGTATACATTTACAAACATCCATGCCTTCTCTGGGATTTGAACCTGGACCCTTCAGTACAGCAGTCAGAGTCACTAACCACTATTCCATTTGGGTGGCTGAAAAGAAATTCATGTTGTGATCATTCTGCATTTTCTACTGTTTTAAACATAAAAGTGTTAAAAATTTTAGATTGTAATGTTTATGAGTGTATCTATTATCTAAATTGTCTATGTGTATTATCTGTGATTTGAAATAAATAGTATAGAGATTTCGTAATGTCTTAACACAGATCAGTATTTTTTCTGCATTATAATCTCCAGAAGTTTTATTACAGAACTGAAATTTTAAAAATATAAGTAGGTAGGTTTCTCTCTCTCTTTTTTTTTTTAAGTTTGCAATGTGTTAACATTCCTGCATCAAGTTTCCTAAATTGTTTATTATTTATTTAATCCTAAATTGTTTATTATTTATTTAATCCTAAATTGTTTATTATTGCTAAGTATTGCTAGCAAAAGTGAATTATAGGTATTATGTGTAATTCAGTTTATCCATAGTCTCTTTTTTTATAATCATGCCAGTACAACTTTTTCTGCTTTTTAAAAACTGAAATACATGTATCTCATTATTGCTCATATTTGTGTTTGTTTTAGAATTCAGTCCGTCATAATCTATCCTTGAATAAATGTTTTGAAAAGATTGAAAAGCCATCAGGTAACAGCGCACAAAGGAAAGGTTATCTGTGGGCAATGAATCCTGCCAAAATTGAAAAAATGGAGGAAGAACTTCAAAAGTGGGGTAGCAAAGATCCTGCTGCAATTAGAAAAAGCATGGCAAATCCAGGTAAGACAAAATTAACAAAGTTTATGTCAAAGTTCAGTGTTCTTTTTCTTTTTCTTTTTTCTTTTCTTTTTTTTTTTTTTTTTAATTATTAATTTTTCCACCTTTAAATTGTAAGGCACATAAATAAGTGTCCCCAGAAGGAGCAAATTATATAGTTGGAGCTTTATTTTAACCTTTTGACAGTCAGGGAAATGGGCAGTTTTCATATACTTAATTCGCGCAGTATTACGAGTCAACAGTAGTCGAAAGTGGCAGCTGTTTTCCCCCCGCCGTTCTTCCAAAATATCACCCTTGTGGTGGTACTGCTCTCCTCACGCATTAAAAATTCTTTAAGCCTGTAGTCCTAAATAACCGTTTTTATGTACTTTCAAATATTAATAAATTGCTATTATTAAATAGAAATTATAAATGATTATAATCGTTATATAGAAATATTAAATTGAAGGACTCATAATACCTAGTAAACTTATGCGCTTAATACAGTAATTACCTTAAAATCTTTTGTTGTGAATACGTAAAACTCGTAAACTAACTACCAGTCCAACTAAGTCGGCTAGGAGCTTGAGAACTGAATCAATTTTACACATGTCGAACACGTCGAAAATCTCCTCATCCTGAATCATCTTGACTTGATATCTGTAGAACAAGTCTCATCAGACTCAAAACTTAATAAGCTTTCTGTATCACAATCATAATCACCATCATAATTATCTAACTTTTGCTTTTGAGCCATTTTACTTTATAAAAACACTAAAAAAATGCGCGAAAACACATGAAAAAGAAAAGGTAAAAATTACCCCTTCATTATGAAAAGAAATTCATAAAACCCATACTGCCATCTGTAGACATTAAAATTAACTAAATTTTGTGAGTAGGATTCCTTTGTGACATAATGCAGAATAATAATGGCGAACGAGCTCAGTTCATCAGCGCTCATTGAAGAAACATTTCGCTACGCGAGTAGTGCTCGTTTCTAACCTTTTCGGTCGAAATCTTGCTCCCGAGCAGAACTCGTTTGTGCACATTATGAAGCATGAATCGATTGTGAGCAGAACTTGTTTGTGCACACTATGAAGCATGAATCGATTGTGAGCTGAACTCATTCATAACCATCAAAGGGTTAATTTGTTTTCCAGTTTTTCATACAGTTCTCAGCATTTCATTTATTCAGTCAACCTCAGATCTTCATTGTTGTGATGAAGTGAAGTAAGGGAAGAAAATTGAATACTTTGTTTTGCTTTCTAAATATGAAGCCACTGTTATTTTATTATTTATAATTAGTATAATAAATCGCTTATTTGATAGCCAGAAGATTTTGGTTATATCTTAGAAATTGCTTAAAAGTTTTGTAATTATATTTCATTTAGTGTGATTTGTTTTTCCATAACAAAATATTGCTAAAAAGATCATATAACTAAAACTAAATAAAAAATAATCATGAATGCATAAACACAAAAAAACAGAGCTACAGGTTGTCATTTAGATATATAAAGTAAATGCTTATCATTTTAAAAATTATCATAATTCTATATTTTGGGCCAAAGAAACATATAAATGCTTCACAGGGCTTAAGAAGTAGACCTGGCTCGTATTTGTGGGCATATCTGTCTTGTCGTGGGCCTTTCTCTCTGAGGTGCAAAATTTCAGAGAAATATCCATCAGAATGAGCAAACTTATCCCAGCATTTGTGCTATTACTGAAAGCATCAAGGGAATGCCTCTTTATGTGTCTGTAGTTGATTGGTTGTTACATCATTTTAGAAAGTGTGCATTGTCTCTAAACATTGATGAATTCTCGTAGTAAAAGAGAACAGCAGAATCAGCGGTTGGGAAATCTGGCAAGTGAGGTCATTGTGGTCTGATAAGGAACTGTTCAAAATGCTACTTTTTGCGTATACTTTTGTGCCAGTGGGTGTACTGTGTCATGAACTGTGCTGTCCCAGATGATGTCATTTCACATGTGTTTTCTATAGAGGTGTAAAAGTTAAAAAAACAAAAATAGGTGTCTTTGGATGGAGCAATGTAGGATTCATGTAGCACACGTTACGTAAACATGCTGTGAAATTTCTGTTAACTTTTTAAAACAAAGCAGTATTTGGAAATGACGAAGGTGAAGAGGACTTCAGTTTCTGGTATTAACCTTTTGATGGTCATCAACAAACTCAGCTTGCATTGCAGTTACGCATCACAGTGGGCAAAAACAAATATCACATGTATTTGGAAAGAAGAAATTGAATAATCTTGTAACCACAAAAAGGACAGTTTAGAAAAATGTGATGGCTACCATCCATAGTAATAAATGGCTACTGTTGTCACTAATAAGTATATTGAAATAAGGCTTGAGGTATAAAATATGCCTCCTTTTTCTTGAAATCATAAAGCAGCAGGATAAACAAGAGGTCGGTTTTATGCAAGTCATCCCTTTCTCATTTAGTGATGTGTGAGCTGGGTCATTCAGATTTTACTAGTGTAGTGCTGACAGAGAGATAGGAAAGTGGGGAGGAGCATTTTCTGTGTCTGGAAGATATGGAGATCAGATGTGTTTTGTAATCGTGAACAGAGGAGGAAGTGGAAGTTTTTGTGTAGTATGAATGGGTTCATGAGATATTGAGTGCTAAAATGCATAAGTGGCTTGTAAAATTTATTATCCAAATGTCATGTGTAAGCAAATGATGTGGTTAAGGTGCTGGCAGCTCAGTGAGAGGTAATGTGTTGGACCTGGCCAGATATCAGCAGCCACTGCAGAAGAGAGCGTCAGTCATGAGAAACAAATGATTCAGATGAATAGGCATGTAATAATCGGTGAGATCACCATTGTACTCAAAAATGAGTCGTACATCAGCTTACCAAATTATTCATATCACTTTGAAGTATTTGAAAGTTTGATAGCTTCCTTGTCAATTAACTACATACCACATGGTCTAATGATTGGGCATAAGCCTGAAACATCTTACGCAGAGTCGTCAGCATGCAGATGAGTTGTTTATTTTTTTCTCCACCATCGCCCAAAAAAATTATAAGGGGAAACGAAACCTGGGTCCATCATTTCTTGCCAGAGACCAAATTTTTTAAGTGGAAACATCTGTTATCCCTTATTGGAAAGAAAAGGCAGTACTTTCTGGTGGCAAGTTGCTCTTGACAGTTTTCTGAGATGCTCATATTTGTTTTGTTGCTGGAATTTTGAGGAAGTGGATGTTGTGCTGTGTTGCAAGTCATATAAGACTGAAGACTAAGGTGCAAAGTGGCTTCCACCATTTTCCGATTTTTGTAGAAGACTCAGAAAAAGGCACCAGTTAAGAAGTACAGGAAGTTAAAACAGGTCTTCTTTGTTTGTGGAACACACATTTTTTCCAACAAGGGTTTTTTATTTCCTTGTACGAAGTAAAAAGGAAGGATTGTAATCGCAAAGAAATTCGGGTATAATGTTTCAACAAAAATAGCCATTTTGGCCATTCTCAAATGCAATTTAATGATGTTTGTGCGTGATATCTGTACATAAGGACAAAATAAAGGACTCTTTTGCTCCCCCCCCAATTGCAAAACTGATTTAAAATGAATTTTGAAGAGAATTTTTCGTGATGTCTGTACATACGTATGTATCTAGGATATGTTATGCTAGATAGCATAACTAAAAACAAGTAGCCTCTGAGCGTTGAAATAAGATGTAGATGTGCACCTCCCAATTTGGCTGCAATCGACCGCACCTAAATATATAAATATATATACATATGTAAAATGTAAAAAATAAGACAGCTTTGCTCTATACGAACAAACAACCTCTAATTAACGTTCTGCAATTTCAGTATGAAATCACCTCCTAGACCATACTTTCGAGAACATTCAAGCCTATTACGTAACTGCTTCTATAAACAGAGAACTCACGCCATTTTGCGTGGGAAACCGCTTTTGCCTTTACTGCTCTCATCTGCTACCCTTTGTTAGAATACTATGATGCATTAAATTTAATTTTATTTAGTAAAGAATGATAATATGCCTTTTGATTTGAATAAAGATATGGGGCTGTAAATTTAAATCCTTCTGTGTCATCATTTCATTTGCCAAGCTTATTCATGTGCCCGATTTGCCCAAATTTACCTATATATGTGTGTGGTGTGATCCAGTCAACGTCGTTTAATCGGAACCATAATCCGGTGATTATAATCCGGCTCAAAACAAACGTTCGCATGGCCTTTGATGCAAGTTTACGGGTGAATATGTGCGCATAATTTTGCTAAACATTATCTCCCATTTAATTCAGTTAATGTTGCAGATTGGCGTTTTCTAATCTTCGATTGGATTCGGCTTATTATTTTTGCCAGACTGTGGTAGAGCATTTTATAAAATTTAAGCTTGAATTTTTTGCAAAAAGAAAGAGAATTTTCTATACTAAACCTTCTACGATTTGTCTCCCAAGTAACGTGTTTTCGATCCTTTATATAATAACATCAGTGAATTTTAAAAATTTTAAAGGCATATCCTGGTTTATCTAAACTTTTTTACAACGATCTATCACGCACAATCCCATTTCAAAGCCCCTCTTTTATGTTTCCTCTCCCTTACCAAACTATTTCATTTCATCCATATCCCTCTTTGATATGATTTTAATCTCACTCGTTAGTATCAATTCGCTTCCGATAGCAAAAGGCTAGTAAAGAGCTTATTAAACGAAAAAATTTCGATTACCCAATTGTTTCCGACACAGCAATTATAAACTGAACAGTGGAACTTTGTAACTTACGAAATTAGTCCTGGCATAGAGTGTTATCACTAAAAACAAGCCCTTAAAGAACTTATATTAAGAAATGTTTAATAAAGTAAACAAATATTAGCGCCTTTTTGTAAATTTTTGATACCCTTTTAGATCATAATTGTTCTTTATTTCATAAATTCCGGTTCATATTTTTGATTTATAATTTCTGCATGCCATCTTACCAGATTTTTAACTGATGATTATAATCCCCCCGGAAATTGCCGAAGTCCCGACGAGTCTGGATTAACGACTTTGGACTGTATTTGCAGTAGATCGGCATTGGTAATGGTGAAGCTTGGCATCAAACTGGACATGGCTGAATGGCTTACAGCAGAAATGATGACACTGAAAGATTTCATTTTTTAAAACTCCATATTTTGATCCACTTAATGTGGCAGATTATTATTCTTTGATTCTCCAAGATTGCATATGCGATATTAATTTAGACTAAATGCAATTAACTTTAAATTAACTGCGTCGTACTATTAAAGCAAAGAAAAAGAGATGGGAAGAGCGGCTGGCTGAGAAAAGCAATCTGACAAAAAATGCCGCGAACTCATCATTTATAGCAGTGATTATGTAACATGCTAGAATGTTCTCGAAAGTACTGGTCTAGGGGGAAAATCCTGAAATTGTGGAAAGTTAATTAGAGGTTGCCTATTTGTGTAGAGCAAAGCAATCTATTTTTTATATTTTACACATATATATATATATATATCCACTTTGTTACTCGGCTCAGTGAGCTCAGTTTCTTTATTCTTATATGTTTGTAAATTGTGAATTTTTTGCTTTAAAAAGGATTGAATTATGTTGTTCTGGTTAAGAGTTTTATGCCTTTAGTTAACCTGCATGCAGTAATTGTAGAATTATCAACGATATATAAGTTTCGTTGATATAACGAATGCTGACGAAGTGCAGCGAAGCCATAGCAGAATAGTGAATTTTTTGCCAATCTAGTGAAACTAGGCTTCGCAACAACAAAATAACGTCTTCTTTTGTGATTGTGAATTAAATTATGCTTACTTCATTCTGGAATTATCATTTAAGTTATTAGCTTGTCTTGTAGAAATTGTAATTTTAATTGTAAGAATAGTTTTTTAAAATTGTTTTAACTGTATTTGGTGTTTTATGTTTTTCTATATCTTTCACATTTTAATGAAAATATTTTGCATTTTTATGTATTTTTGCCTCGTTGCGAAATGAGAACTGTATTAATTAGTAGCGCATGCACATTAGGTAAGTGGCGCTAAATTGTCTGCGAAAAACTGCTTCTTTTTTATTTGTTTTATTCCTTTTATACATCATTTTGGATTTATTATAGTATTTGAATAGAACTTGTGGTAATTCTTCAGATGATATAATTTTTGTGAACTCTGAGTTATAAAATGAATGAGATGTAACACTGTTAAGTGAACCTAGCGGCGAAATGTTGCTGTGATAAATAAATGTAGTGAACTTTAAAAATTGCATTTATTCTATTGTGGTTTATGTGCTATCGATGAAGTAGATTTAATTCAAAATTCGCTAAGTGTCAATTCAATATGTGTAAATGAAGTGCAGGGAAATTGAGTATAATTTAATATTCCGTACAAGGAAGTCATGCGGTGTACACATCAGATTTTTTAAATTAAGAATTATGACAAATGTATCAATCTCCTTGGTAATTATGTAAAACAATTAAGTAAGCCTACTCCTTTATATTTGCAGTCTTAAATAAAAAATCATTGTTCATAGCAGCTCAAATGGAAATTTATTTTTCAACTTCCATTTATAAAAACGCAAAAAAATTGTTAGCATTTAATTTTTTTCCCCGTTTTCAATGAAATTTATTTTATTTTGTAGCAGATAGCTTTTAGAATTTAGTGCATACAATTTATGTATTTTAACTGTCAGCTAAAAATTTTGTTTTGCTTATGAATCCTGTATTTGAAATCGGCGCAACATGCACAATCTGGCAAACCACCCATGAAGTTGGATTTTAGAAAATATGTAACAAAATAATGAATATTGGGAAAAAAATAACTGAGCAAAAATTGGAGCTTAAGCATAGATTGTTTGTTGTTCAAATATTTATTAAAAATGTAACACAGTGAATGCAAATCATTTGATGATAAATAGAAAAGTATCCTTTTTAGGGCATACTTGACAAAGTGAACCTATTCTTACTTTCCTGATCGCTGAGAAGAGCTGCAAATCATTGAAGCATTAGCTGACATGACAAATGGAAAGCAGTTGCTGTGGTATCTGCCGAAAATTTATGTCATTAACAGCCATTATTATACATTTGAGTCTTGATTAACTGAAATAATATGAAGTACAATGCCACCGTTAACCTAAAATCACAACTTACAGTAGTTAGAAAATAAGGGAAAGAGGAATAACTTCATATTATAATTAAAAGAAAAATATGCTAAAAATTAATTAATCTGATTAATTTGAAGACTATAATTTTATGTATAAATTAAATCAACGTTCAAAACAAAAATGAAATTTTTTTTTTTTTTTTTTTTTTTTTTAAATTTTTGAAATTTATTAAGAGTCATTGGGAAAACAGAAGATTAATGGCTGTATACTTGTTTTCACACTTTAAATATTTCTCTTCAATGGATGATTTACCAATGTCTGTCAATACAACAGTAACAAATTATATACTGATGTGGCTAAAAACAATTCCTGAACATTGTAACATCATCAATCGCTGCTGCTATCTTACACATCCTCTTTCAGTTTTGTATATCTGATTTTAAAAAAAAAGTTTATTTACTCTGATATTTTGTTATAATAAATTTCTGTGCTCCCGCAATCAACAAACAGGCTTAACTGTTTTTAGATACGATTCCCCATTAATCAAATGTTGATTGTTATTTCTAAGCTTATGAAATTACTCAACCATCTGGAGAGCTGTAGAAATTTCACTCCTCATCCCTAAAATTTTCTTATTTAAATTTTTGTTTTCTTTTCTTTGTGGCATTGGTTATGTTAGTAGGAATATGATTAAATCAGCTGGAAGGGCTGTGTTTTAAGAATATGTTCCAAATCATATTTTGCCATTTTATAACTGCCTCTATCTGTAAGCAAAAGGGTGCCAGAAAAGCAGTCAAAACATTGAATGGAAAAAAAAAAAAAAAAAGAATGATTAATCATAGGATAATAATTATTTCAGTTACTAAAAATTTCCAAGAATATTCTGAAACTTCTTGGCCTATAAATGAGAGTGACCAGAAAGAACATCAGTATTGTTAAAATTAACAATACTGATACAGTCAAAAGTCGTTAATCCGGACTTATCGGGACTTCGATTCCGGATTATCGATTTTTCCGGATATCGATTTTTAGATAGATCATCATTTTAAATCTCGTAAAGATGCATGCAGAAATTCCTAAAATTAAAAATATGAAACCGTAATTTATTGAAATAAAGAACAATTATGATCTAAAGGGTATCAAAATTTAAAAAAAAAAAAAAAGGCTTAATATTATTTGTTTACTTTATTAAACATTCTTTCAATGTAAGTTGCTTTTTTATGTGATAATACTTTCTTTTAATTCTATAAACAGACATAATTTCTTGTTCCAGTTACAAAGTTCGCTGTTCAAGTCCCGTTAATTGCTGTGCCGCAAATATGACTAACTTGTCAATCGAAATTTTTTCGTTTTCACTAAACCTCTCTGTCACATCTTCATGTCTTTATCCATTTTTTGCAGCAATTCCACCTTTTGTTTGTGGACATCGAAACATACTTTCGTTTTGTAGATCCTTTGGAAGTTCCAGCATCGGAAATTCTATTTGACATAATCGAAAGTTCAAGGTTTACTTTTATAAAATTGCTCTTACAGTCTGCAAAAAATAATAAGCGGGATCCAATTCGAAGATAAGGAACAACGCAATCATTAACATTAAACTGAAATAGATAATTAGATAATTTTAGCTTACACCGTCCGTTATACATTAAACGCGCAGGCGAAAACGTATTCTGCACTTGCGCACACGCATATGCGCAGCAGTCAAGGTCTTATGCGCACGCGTAAAACGCCTGTGCGCATGTGCCAATGCGGCGCATGCGCAGAAAGTTTTTAGCTTTGAGGTCCGGATTATGGGTGTCCGAATTAACGACTTTTGACTGTATATAAATATCACATTGTGTGCAATAAATTTAAATACTGAAGTCATATGTATTTGGCAAGGAATTTTTAAATGTGACAGTGTGTATCTGGTGATGCTCTTGTTGTCCTTATAGAAGATTTAACTGTTATTTTGAAGTGCATGATTTTTAATATGGATCTGATATTCATTTGGGATGTAACAAAAAAATAAGTTTGCTGTAGGAAAGAAATTTATATGAAAAATATAATATGATAAATGAAACTGTGTTAATTTAATAAAGCTCTTGTATACAGTTAAAGAGGAGTAATCATTTTTGTTCATGAAATGTATATCTGTAAGAATTCCTTAGTTTGAACTAATTATTTCATCTTTATCAATTGAAAAATTTTTAGAGCGTTTAGAGCTGATTGAAAAAGGTGAATTGAGGAATACTGATAGTGATACAGAAATGGAGAACATGAGTGTTTCTGACTCTGAACAAGAAGTAAAAGATATCAAAAAAGAACATGAGAAGAGCAATGAGGTCAAAGTGCAGGTTACCAGTTTATCGAATGATCTACTTAGTAATGATTTTTCCTCATTAGGGGATTCGGTCAACATAGATCCGTGTCTTCCTGAATTAGATATGCAGGTTTGTTTATATTATGCATATTAACCGTATTTTAAAGTATATTTTAGTGAACATTGATGCTTTTAATTTTATTTATTTTTGGATATTAATATACAGTTTTAAATATTGAACAAAGTGTGGTGTTATTTTTAAAATTATGGATTGCCCTCTTAATACATATGTATAGGGTGTCCGAATCAAATGTATCTAATTTGGAGAGGTCGCTATACTTAAAAGAAAGTTTAAAAGCATAAGAAAAATGTAAAATTAGATACCAATACTCAGTATACAAAGTTTTTGTTAAACAATCAGTACAATTCCACATGAGCTTCCTTAGTAGCTTTGAAAATGTCCAGCCGGTAGTCCAGTTCCAGCCATGTTCAGTGTAACATTTCTGGAGTCGCAGTAGCAATAGCCTTGGTTATGGAGGCACGAAAGTCGTCAATATCACAGATGTTCCCTGAGTAGACTGTCTTTCATGTAGCTCAAAAAAAAAAAAAAAAAAAAAAAAAAAAAAAAAAAAAAAAAACCAAGAGGTGTCACATTGGGAGATGGTGGTGGCCAGGGAATTGGGCATTTTATATCTGCATTTTACATGCATGCAACCTCAGTTTTCAATGCAGCACATCATGAATAGTTGATCAGGGTACAGCTAATTCAGAAGCCGACTAATAAGGGCTCCAAACGAAAGCTAGTCAAACATCTTCCACATGTGAATCAGAATGTGAAAGCCGATCACCTCCGGGTCTACAGATTTGCGTTCTGCATACCAGAGAGCAGTTTATGCCTTCTCTTGAGGTCATGCCATTTTTCAGTAAGCATGTGTGCATTAGAGACAAGAAAAAAATATTGTCACCAAACTTTACAAATTCAGCTCCCACGTGTGGCTAATAATGCCAGCACTAAAACTTTGTTTTGAATCGGCTGTTCAAATTGATTCACATTCGGACACCCTGTATTGTGTGATGTTTTTTCATTGATGATTCTCTTCCAAAATTTTGATTTCTAAGTAAGTATTTCTTAATTTATAAACAATTTTAAAAAAATCTCATGAAAGCTTTCTCAGCAAGATTTTTTTTTAAAGTATCTAAATAAAGGTTACTATTCCTTTTTTATAGTGAAGGAGAAACTATATAAAATTAATCTTAGTCTTTTGTGTACTGAAATTAATTTGATTTTATATTTTACTGAATATATTAAATGCATTTGATTTTTTACTCTTCAGTAAAATAGTGCAGTAATTTTATAAAATGCGATTCATTGTAAAGTTAAAATTATTCATAATCCTCTGTCTTCTCTTTAAGAATGAATTCTCAGTAGCCACCCCTAGGTAAATTGCTTTTAGTGAAGAGCAGTTATCAGTATTTTGAAGCTCAGGTTTAAAGAATTATTTTTTCCAGGGAGTGGACGATTAATGAATTTTGTTTTCACGTATGGGATTATATTTTTACTTTCTTTTAATTTACCTTAAATGTGGTTTAATAAATAGTATTGCTTCTGTCTGAACTCTTCTATCATACATAGCTAAGTGTTTGCATACTACTTAAGCTGTTTCTCATTGCCAGTTTGATCTATTGCCTAATAAACATAGCTAAGTATTTTGCATGATTTATAAAAGTTTATAAATATACGTGAATGCAGTTAAATGAAATTATATTCCAGGAAAAGATGACTGAAATTAAGGTATATTTTTATAATAAACATTTGCTAATTTTAGCAGACACATATTTATGTTTTAAAAGTTTGAGAAAAAGAGGAAAAGTAACTGCTTTTACTTTTAAATGGTGCAGGGAAAAGTAGAATATTGTACAGCACAAAGTCCAAATTCGGACTTGTCAGGACTTCAGCGATTCCGGATTATAGATGCAATTAAAAATATGAAACCGTAATTTATGAAATAAAGAGCGATTATGATCTAAAAGGTATCAAAATTTACACACACACACACACAAAAAAAAAAAAAAGTGCTAATATTTTCTCTTTAATTCTATAAACAGACATAATTTCTGGTTCAGTTACACTGTTCAAGTCCTGTAATTGCTGTGTCGAGAATACCGACTAACTTGTCAATCGAAATTTTTCATTTTCAATAACTTCTGTCACTTTCTTCCCTATCAGTACTGGTATTTTCTGGATCTAGAACAATCTGTCACTGTAATTAATTTGATTGATTGATGATTGGGGCATTGTCATCACAATGAAAAATTTCCGTTATATCATCTTTATTTATTACCGCTTCTGCACATTTCTTTACAAAACCCATTAACTGGAAAATTTCACCTTTAGTTTGTGATATTAAAAAAAACCTTCTAATTCACGGCTATCATCTTTATCGTCCTCACCATGAAATACGGTAGCTGGCTATAAATTATGCCAAGCATTTTTTAACGTATCTGGAGACACACCCTCCCACGATCTTGCGATGCTCCACACAGCAGATTTTATGCTAAAAATTTAAAAAGTCGAATGTATTGCCATTGTGTTCAAGAAATTTACATAGATTTTTAAAATGCTACGTTATATTTGCATTCAGCCCATGTACATCCATATCATAGGCTGAATGATAGATGTACAATTTGGAGGGAAGAATAATACGGATACAGTCAAAAGTCGTTGTCGGGACTTCGGCGATTCCGGATTATCAATTTTTCCGGATTATAGATCATCAGTTTAAATCTCATAAGATAGCATGCAGAAATTCTAAAATTAAAAATATGAAACCGTAATTTATGAAATAAAGAACAATTATAATCTAAAGGGTATCAAAATTTACAAAAAAAAAAAAAAAAGCTCAATATTTATTTGTTTACTTTATTAAATATTTCTTTCAATGTAAGTTGTTTAAGTTGCTTCATTTTATGTGATAATACTTTCTCTTTAATTCTATAAACAGACATAATTTCTTGTTCAGTTACAAAGTTCCGCTGTTCAAGTCCCGTAATTGCTGTGTCGAGAATACCAACTAACTTGTCAATCGAAATGTTTTCGTTTTCACTAACCTCTCTGTCACCTTCTTCATGTCTATCCATTTTTTGCAGCAATTCCACTTTTTGTTTGATGGACATCGAAACATACTTTCGTTTTGTAGATCTTTTGGGAGCTCCAGCATCGGAAATTCTGTTTGACATAATCGAAAGTTCAAGTTTGCTTTTATAAAATTGCTCTTACAGTCTGCAAAAAATAATAAGCCGGAAAGGAACAACGCAATCATCAACATTAACTGAAATGGATAATTAGATAATTTTAGCTTATACCATCCGTTATACATAAAACGCACACGCAAAAACGTATTCTGCACTTGTGCATACGCATATGCGCAGTCGTAAAGGTCTTACGCGCATGTGCCAACGCGGCGCATGCGAAGAAAGTTTTTAAGCTTTGAGGTCCGGATTATGGGTGTCCGAATTAACGACTTTTGACTGTACATTATCTTTCACTAAAACTTTAAGTGAAGTACGTGCCGAACATTTGTCAACAATGAGGACTATTTTTGAGTCATCAGGTAAACCAACCAAATTCAAATGTCACCGAGCCGGGGTTATAAAATGATTTTCAAAGCAATCATTTCATGAATGCTTGTGTCATTCATGTTGTTTTATTTGCTCAATATATAACAGGGAAAATCTTTACTCCTTTAAATGCTCGAGGTCGTGCATGTTTTCCGATTACGAAAAGTTAGCATTTGTGCATGTTTTTTGTCCAAACTATCGATCACTGCGGCTCGGCTTGGCTATTGGGAAAATGAATATGTAGTCTATTGGCCGCTACATGTCAGTTGTCTTTTGTTTTGCATGGTAACCGTCACATGTTTAAAATGGCTACTCCGCAGTAGAAATCATTTTGTGTTCTCGAGTTTGCGAAGTGCAATTCCGTGATTACAGTGCAAAGATGTTTCAAGTTGAGGTACCAAAGTGATCCTCCGAATGGGTGGAACATTTACAGATAGTATTGACAGTTTGTAAATACAGGATGTGTATGTAAAGGAAAGAGCCCTGGTCACCCTCATGTTCCCAACGATAATGTTGCATGAATTCAAATTGCTTTCCAACGTAGTCCTTCAAAATTAACTCGTCGTGACAGTCAGGAGGTTCAACTGCCTACAACAACAATTTTGTGTGTTTTTAGTTGTTGGTTGGTTATGGAGCCGTACAAGTTACATTTGTTACAGGCTCTGCATCCTGAGGACAAACGCAAACGTGTGGCATTTTGTAACGAGATTATTGATGCTATTGACAATGATAACACTTTTGCACAACGCATCGTGTTCAGTGATGAAGCGACTTTTCATGTTAGTGCTCATGTAAACAAACACAATGTTCGAATTTGATGCCTACAGGACCCACATGCAGCCATTGAACATGT